ATTTCTGGACAGCAACCAAACCCAACATCCTTGAGGGCCAACTCAAGGCCTTCCCCCAAATCAAAAAACTAGTCGACAAATCAGTTAGCGAGGCCATAGCAGCAGCCACCCCCCCGCCTCCACCTCCCCCAACCATGGAGGTGGACTCCCCCATCACTCTGACCGGCCCTAAACCCACAGGCGCCACGCCTCCTACATGAGGCAACCCCACGCCCCCGGCAGCCCCCGCACCTCGCGGCAGTCACGCCCCCCCAGACCAATCCCGGCCGCATGTGCCCCCAAGCGTGCCCCCCCCCTCCCCCCTCCCAGCCGGCTCCCAAGCCGACCTATGCCGCAGCCCTCAGGTCCAAGGCACCTCACCCCCGCAAGGCCCACCCGCCCACCAAGCTGGTGGCCCCCGCCACAACCAAGTGGGTCATCATACCCACCAACAAATCTCAACTCCGAGACACAGCCAAGCGCCCATCCCCGCTCCACATCGTAAGCGCCATCAACCACAAACTATCCGCCTGGGCCAACGAGTCCATTGGTGGAGTTCACGTCACCAACCTCGGCGACTCCCATATCCTCGCAGCTACCTGGATGGTTGGCTGCAACCTCCTACTCACTGCTGCCAAGACACCTCGTGTTCTTGGGACAAAAACCGACGTCTAATTGATCCACACAGCCAAGTGTTGTGCCTCGACTGGCAGCGCCCTCAAGGATGCAGCAAGGGAGATCACGGCCCCAAACACAAATGCTCCGGTTGTGGAGCCAAGACCCATGGAGCGCAAGAATGCCCTCTCGCTGACCCTGGCCAGTAGACGCAACGAGGCCGTCACCCCCTACGTACCCACTAATTGGAATCATGCCCTCATAGAAACGGGACTCATACACCGCTACCCTAACCTACCTTCTGAACTAATCTACGGACTCGACGCAGGCATACCTACCATCACACACACTTACACACCGGACAATAGCACTACCCTTTTAGAGCACAAACGGTTTTTCAATGATATAGTAAAAGCAGAGTTCGAAAAAGGCCGATGGATAGGTCCTTTCACCAAGGCCCAACTCGAGGCCGAAATGGGTCCTTTCCAAACATCCCCCCTCTCCATTATACCCAAACCAGGCCAAACAGACAAGTATAGAATTCTACAGAACCTCTCGCACCCGAAAAATGGACATCCGGTAACATCGATCAATTCAGCCATAGACATAGCGAACTACCCTTGCATGTGGGGTACGTTTCACACTATGTGCTCCCTGATCACAACCCTTCCCCCACCAGGGACCCAAGCGGCAGTAAGAGATGTTGCCGAAGCATACCAAACAGTACCCATCAGACAAGACCAATGGCCAGGGCTTGTAGTCAAGCTCTCTGGAGACGATCAGTATGCTGTCGACACATGCTGCTGTTTCGGACTCACATCATCATCAGGAGTTCACGGACAGGTAGCGGACACCACAGCCGACCTCATGAGGGCCAAGGGTATCGGACCGATCATCAAATGGGTAGACGATCACGTTTTCTTCCGATTAATCTCCGAACACTTACCCCAATACAACGAGACAAGAACCCGAATCCGTCAAATGATAATCGACAATGGAGGGGAGAAACGGGAACGGGGAAGAATATGGTACCTGGCCAGACGGAAGGCTTGAGGAATGGCACGAAAATCATCATTTTCCCCTTGGCTGCCGCCCAACATCCGACGCATCACAAATACACACTTACGACATGACAGACATCAATCACATCTTCAATTATCTAGGAATCAGATGGCAACAAAACAAAGACACCCCCTTCCAATCAGCATTCAAATTCATCAGACTACTCTGGGACCTAGAAGACCATACAGTAACACTCACAGAAAAGAAACGGGCCAAATACCATGACGCGATCCTCACATGGAACATCAGACGCGAACACGACCTAAAAGAACTGCAAACACTGTATGGCAAACTCCTTCACGCGACGCACGTCATCCCTCAGGGTAGAGCGTACCTGACAGGACTCGAGGCCATGATTCCCCTTTTCCGCGATCAACCTTTCAAACCCTGCACACTGCCACGCTCAGTTCCCACCGACCTCGACTGGTGGCTCGACAGGCTACGATCTCCGCCCCCCCCCCAGACCCATTCCTCATCCCACCGCCGTCACCGACGTTCGCGCCTTTTCCGATGCCAGCTCTTCGACGGGAATCGGCATCGTCATCGGCCCGCGCCAGTGCTGGAGCGCCTGGATCCTCACTGACGGTTGGCAGGAGAGCAAGAGGGACATCACCTGGGCTGAGGCGGTCGGTTTTGAACTACTCGCTCACATGGCCGTTCGCCTCTACCTGACAACCAGGACTTTCCTCTTATATGGTGACAACCGCGGAGTCGTCGAAGGGTGGTGGAAAGGTAGGAGCCAAAACCCCGAGGCCAACGCCATCTTCCATCGCGTTCACCTACTGGAAGAACAGCACGGAACGCGCTTCATCACGCGCTACGTCCAATCCGCAGCCAACCCCGCTGACGGCCCATCCAGAGGGATATGCCCTCCAGAAGCCCTACGCCTACCCCCCATCCCAATTCCCCCAGAAATCAGCCACCTCCTTGTCAACCACGACCCATCGACACCCGCCCACTTGCTCCACACCCGCCGCAACCACAACCAGACCAAGCCAACCTCAGAACGGCTCGGTGACGCCACCGATCGCGACCATCAGGAGGACCACGACAACCAGATCCGCAGTGCCTTCGGTGCCATCCAAGATGGCCCAGGTTTTAGCGAAATGCGGTATATCTGACCCCCTGCATACCACAGCATCCCAGGGGAATGTCCAGGGCACGAAGGCCTACCCCCCACCATCCTCTGCCCCAACTGCCCAGCCAGAGACCGACTCCACCTGTGGCGCCCCACCTACTCTCGTCTTCCCCTCAACAACAACGGCGAGCCCCTCCCCATCACCACGGAGATGATCACCAACCTTGAAAGCGTCCTCGCCACAGCCTAGTCCACGAACACCGCCTCGATGTACGGCGCGGGCCTCGCCGCTTTCCATATCTTCTGCAACCATGTAGGGATACCAGAAGAGGACCAAGCCCCCGCCCAGAGTGTCCTCCTCGAAACCTTCGCCGGAGTCTACTCCAGGACCGCTATCAACAACTACCTCGCCGGGATCAGAGCCTGGCACATAATCCACAGATTACCCATCAACACCAACAAACCGGCCATCAACGCCATCCTCAAAGCAGCCATCGAAATAACCCCTGCCGACGCCAAGCGCCCCAAGTGCCCCCCATTCCTTGTCGACTACATAATCCGCATCAAACCAGCATTCAACCACGAAGACCCTTTTGACGCAGCAGTATTCGCCTGCCTTATGACCACTTTCTGGTCCGCAGCCAGACTCAGAGAATTCACGGTGAAAACCATCAAAGCCTTTGACTCCGCAGTCCACGTCACCTGCGCCAACCTCTCCGTAGTAACTGATCCGACAGGCAACCACCAGCAGCACAAATTCCACCTCCCATACACCAAGGTAGTGCGACATGAAGGCAAAGATGTATACTGGGCAAAGCAAAACAGCGACGCCGACCCCCTACAAGCTCTCAAAACCCATCTACGCATCAACAATCCCCCTGCCCACGACCACCTCTTCTCGTACTGGCATGGACACGGCACCAAGCGCCATCGTCGCCCGATGTCGAGAAAAGCGTTCATTACAAGGATCAACCAAGCACTCACCGCGATCAGGATCCCCAACCTGCACGGCCACAGCTTGTGAATCGGCGCCATTCTCCACTACCTCCTTCAAGGCAAATCCTTCGACGTGATCAAAGTCAAAGGCTGATGGGCCGCTGACACAGCATATTCCATATACATGCGAGCTCATGCCGAGATCATGGCGCCTTACATGCAGGACGACGGCCCTCTCGCTCAAGGTCTGATCCAAGCCACCCTTCCGCCTCTACGAAGGAGCAGACAGTAGTAGGATAGGATAGGAGCGTCACCGACTATTGGAAGGGGTCCTCACTACGCATTGTGCGTCGCCACGCTCCTACCAACTTGGGGGAGCGATGCTCACTCGGACCCCGACCTCACTATCGCGGCTTGTTGGACCCCCCTGCGGGGTGTCACCCATCATTATCTACCTATCACAATATCATTCGCTCACCACTCATGTCCTATACCCCTCGCTGTACATAGATACACTCCTATATAATCCATATCACTATACTCCAGACAAGCAGTAATGACAAGCCAAAGACTGGTTTCACACTTCATTGTCAATCTACCCCACATTATGTACTGCACCACAGCACCCCTGCCATGACCATCAACCAAATAATCAGTGCCCAACTCACCTCAACACTGATTCGCCAATCTTGTTTTAATCTTGACTTGTATAGTTGTTAGCTAGCCATTGTAACGGGCACATGGGGTAGTTAGTTGTCATCCACGGCATTCTCTAACTTTGATCAATTTTCACATGGTCTCCAGTTTGATTCTGGGCATGTTCATCGTACATAACTTCTTCCAACATTTGTTTTTGAGCCTTGAGAATACTCATATTAGTCACATGGTTTTCAACTCTTGCACAACTTGTATGCAGGCCCAAGTGCTCTCCTCTTTCAGATTATATTATCTCCAATGAATGATTGATTCACACAACTCGCCTGCCTCAGTGGTGAATCATGATGTCCATCTGTGCCATGTTCACTGCTTCTGCCCGTGGTCCCTGGTTTGATTCCGGGTATGCATATCCACATTCCAAAGTCTTGGTTGTAACCATAAATTGATCTCATTTTGAACACCTGCAGCACGGCACACGGCACACAGGGCCCTTTTGTGCGCTGCTGCTAATTCATGTTTATGGCACAGACAAGTTCATAAATTGGCTATATAATATTATTAACAGCACACTGCTATGCTATATGCCCCACCAAATTGTAAAAAATAGTGAAGCAGGGCTGTCAGCCCACAATTTCAGCTTGTTGTCCTCAGAATTTTATGATAATTAGGATATGGGCACATGGTGTAGATGGTTATCACGCCTGCTGAGCATACTCAGTGTGATCGCAGTATTTAAATTCTGCAGGTGGTGCCCGGTTCAATTCCGGGTGTGTCCATTGTAGAGGGGCGAATCTATTTTTAGGGATAGAAACTCCCTGGCACGATATAACAGCAGTGAATGAATTGCTGCTAGTTCACGGTGTATGTATTCGTACAACATTGAAGTTGTGATATAGAGTACTTGGTACCTTGAGATACCACTTCACAAGTACTCTATATGCGCCACCGCCGCACGACAGCATCGTCGCCCGCAGTCCATACATCCGACACAGCCTTCCCCTCGTGAGCCACGGCCGTCCTAACGCGTACGACACGCACCGGGTCGACCTCCCCGCCCACAAGCTCACAATGCACGCGCACCTCCGCCCCCACCATCGACGCAACATACGGCAGCCCGTCCGCCGTGGCGACCGCTATCCTCAACTCACCGCCCTCTCCAGAGGGTAAGAAAGCAAGCCCCTCAACCCCCGCTTCGCCTCTCGCGAAACTCACAATAAGCTTAGCAGCTGGCGCGTCGCCGACCTCCCACACACTCACCACACCCCGCGAAGACCCCGCGACGAGCCTCCTGCTCTCCGGGCTATACGCCAGCGCCGACACACCGCCCGCCGCAGACGCAGGGGGTGTTCTGTACACCGGCTCGAACGTATTCGCCGGCGTGCGCAGCGTGAACACCTGCACCGACCCGTCCTGCAGCCCACAGACCACCGTATGCGTATACGCCTCGTCTGTCTCTTCCTTCCCTGCGCCCGGCGAGTCGAGCACCATCGACAGGATAGGGTGGGCAGCGTGCACGCGCGCGAGCTCGGCGGCGCTGGCGGCGGCCCAGAGGCGCACGGAGCCGTCGAGCGAGGCGGAGAGGAGGGTTTTGCCGCGCCCGAGGATGGCGGTTGCTGTTATGGGGCGGGTGTGCCCGCGGAGGACGCGTGCGGGGGTTAGGCGGACGCTGGTGCTGGTGCTGGTGCTTGTGCTTGGGTGTGTGGTGCTGGAAGAGGCGTCGGGGAGGTCGGCGGGGAGGATGGAAAAGGAGAAGTCGGCGCCGGCGCAGAGGAGGACGCGGGAGGAGGGGAAGAACTGCAGGGAGGTGATGGTGCTTAGGTGTAGGCGGGCTGTTGCGCGCGAGGGGATGGATGGGGTGATGCGTTGTGTTGGAGATGGTGAAGTGCTGCTGGGAGAGATGGGGTAGAGGAATACGGAGCCGTCGAGGAAGCCGGTGGCGAAGCGTGTAGAGTCTGGTGAGACGTCGAATGCCGTTATCCGTTGAGGCTTTTGGAATCTGTTAGCAAGCTTGGTAGGATGCTGCTATTGGGATGACGTACGCGCTGAGGGTTCGAGCGCTCGGGGTCGAGATATTCCTGGACTGGTAGTGGGACTGGTATCGAACGGATACCTAGCGTCTCGCAGGAGATGGTGTACACCTAGTCTCATGAAAGTCACATTTCAGTGAAGCAAAGCGACTACAAGGACTTACACCGTCACTACCCTTCTCAATGGCCACATCTCCTTCAATGGACTTCAGTAGCACGAGATCTCTGTTCCTTTCATCGAGCTCCGCCTGGATCTTTGCGTGCACCGACGGCTGGGCGGTCTTATAGCACGAAACCCAGAACTTCTCAAACGGCAGTAGCCCAGCGTTGACATCGTCGATGACGCTGAGGAAATTCCGTTCGATGGTGGTAATAGGTAGGCTCAGCTTTTCTGAAGAGTTGGAAGTCATGAGGGAGGAGCAGAATACGCCGTACGGTGGGTGCAAAGGCTGATCTAATCTGCTTTGTCTGGATCAGGAGCATTAGCCAAATAGGCGTCAGTCACGCTTCAACTGACTCTCCTCCTGGAACCACGGTTGACGCTCTCCATACTCACTCTACTATAATGCCTCTAAAAGTCAAAACGGTTCAACTTTGGATCATAATCTCTTTCTAAACTGGGACTCCGCGGGTCTGCATGAGCAATCTTCGAAGGTCGACCCGTTTTTGCTGCATCCACTGCACGGAAACGCATGGCTTATCCTTATCTTGGTTATGCTACCAGCACAGGAGGCCATCGATACGCACTGCTCACCGCCTTTGGAAGATCGATGTCGATGACAAAGTGATACAGGCAATACACAAAACAATGGTGCGTTTTTCTATTATACATTCCATAGTCCCTTCTAATGTTCTGGGTGTCTTCAGACATTATTCACCAGAGCCTTGACTCCACGCGACTCCGGCCGCATTTGCCTCGCATTCCTCGTCTACCCTTCTTCGGAAGCTATTGATCGCTGTGGCCCCATATCCGCACCCCGGAGACCAGTCAGCCTATCCTTCAGAGACTCCGTTCCCGGTGATTTTCAAGTTGTGGCATCATAGGGAACAAATAATGAATGTCTTGAGCTTCTCCTCTCACCGAATCTGACCCATGTCGATCTTACGCTGCAGTAGAGAGTAAATCGGTCGCGGCGATTCCGCTCATTTTCAAACACAGTCCATGACTGCGAATATGAATTTCCTACGACGAGCCAAGACCCTACTTACATATCCTGCTGCCGCTGAAGCACTGGTATCCGCGCTACCGTACTTGAAATACCTCGCCTTCCCAAATCACAAGCTCGCGAGTCGCTACTCCCGCGACGATCCACCACCTCGTGGGCCTCCGAGGGCTGCAGCACTTGGGCTCCGTCACCATATTGACGACTATGCACCCCCAGGATGTCTTCAGGCTACTCAAGCCGACCAGGAGCGGTCCGTTCGCCCACCTCCGAAGACGGCTGACTGAGACTCTGCACGCGAAATCGCGGGACGACAAATATCGTACTAGGGCTCAGTGCAACGCTGATAGTCATTCCAGATTCATGCTCCTTGTCCGCCTTGGCGAGCTTAGCCATCTCCCCTCAAGGAATACAAGTTTTCCCGGCGCTATGATTATAACCGGCGAAAGACTGTACTTATAGCCGCGAGCCTCATCAGGCTGCGCTTCGCTCTCAAGGCTCTGCAAAAGATCATGATTATGAATCACGGTGGATGGCCAGGACCTGGCAGCGGCGGTGTCGCGGCCCCGCTTAGAGGCGCTCGAGTCTCCGGGCACGGCAGCCCTCCAGTGACGCTCGCGGACCTCGTCCCCGTGTCCCTCACCACCTATCTGTACTGTGTCGTTTGACTTGGGCTTCGTAATTACGGCTACAGATGGGAAGAGCTCGCAAGTTGTAGAGCAGCTGTTTGAATAATTGTACGAGACGAAATACACAGGGAGCTTCCAAATTACCCCACCCTGGCTTCTTATCCGTCTTGAACACAAAATTATGACCGTTGCCACCCCGCTGACACTCTGGGCCTCCGCAGTCATTCCCGCCATCGTCTATTCACGGCCCTTCTTCTTTATGACTCGCCGTAGGAACAAAGGCGGGGTAGAAAGTTTCGATGCCTGGCACGCTCCACTTTTTATCATCTAGATGTACTCTCTTGCTGATGGAACCGATGGACAAATAATCGCAGCGCACTCTATCTCCCGGTCCAGCATTTCTAATATTACTGTGCAAGCGCCGATTCTAGATGTTACTGGCCTTGCGAATGGAACCGAAGAACGTGAGGACACATAATCGCAGCGCACTCTATCCCTGGATCCTGCGTTTCTAATAATGCTACGGTTCCAGTACGAATCAGAGAGGTCCAGTGGTGCTCACCCTCGATTCAGAATTGGAATGAACTTGTGTCATGACGAGAAGAATGGCGCTATACTATGACTTCAGCGTCGGCGTTAGCGTTCATGAAAGTCGCCAATGTCGTAAGTGCTTCTATTTCCGTATTTGCCGCGCACTATCTTCCTCTTCGACCCCACGAACTCTGTCCACACCAAGACTGACCCCCGTTCTATCTTTACACCGCACCCTTCACGCTCGCATTTTGTCTGATTACTGCGCAGCGCAAATTCTACCCACTAAACCCGCCGCAAGCCATTCAATGTACAACATCTGGCTGATGAACGAATAGAAGCCACCTCAGTCTAGCCTGCCTGAGAATTTTTCCTTTCTACTCACGTCATTTCAGACATGCAAGTGGCGTCGCCGCCGTATATAAAGCCCTACTTTTCTTTGTTCCCCTCATCTCGTCGATACCCAACAACATCAGCAGAAACCCCAGTCTTCATTACATCGCATCACTATCATGTCCATCCTCCGACCCGGAAAATACTACATCGTCAACAAGCACAGCGGCACCAAGGTCGGCCTGAGCCCTGAAGACCCAGGCAAAACCCGCTACGCCATCTTGAGCGCGCCCAAGAACATACACGGGCCCCAGCTTCGCGCTGTCACGGTTCGTATCCAATGGAATGTATGAGTACTCTCGAATGATCACTGAAATACATTTTCCATGCAGTGGAACGTCGAGCACGTCGGCGGCCACCTGTACAAGCTCGTGGTCGAAGGCAGGGTCGCCGCCTCTGAGAACGGCAAAGTCTTTGGACGAGACGGCGGCGATCAGCACTGGACCATCACCGAACGCGAGGGTATGGGCGGGTACACGTGAGTAGTTTCTTTTCCCGATCTCTTGATGTCTTTCAGGATTACATTTTTCCTTTTTTTTTAGAATTGAGGAAACGCACCAACTCGGAGTTGGCTGGGTTCTCGAGGACGGTGAAAAACAGGTTGGCAGTTTGATTATTGGTGTGTCTGTTTTCGAGCCTGATGAACATGTTTAGGTCTTGTCGCGTCATCTCATTGTCGGCCCGCGCTTCCCTCCCTTCTTCCCTCCTACCGAGATTTGGGAGTTCGAGCGCATTGAGAATTAGGCGCCAAAGATGAATTAGAATTCAGAGGAGAGAGCAAGATATGTGGTATGGAATTGAACTCTAAATTGAAAATGTAGATATTGTTACCTTGCGGACTCTTGTGTTTCGAATATACTTGTGTTACATATGTTTTGCGGGACACAGGCCTTCGACACAACCTACAGATTAATGTGAAATTCAAGCGTCGATCCTTCCTTAGACCGCCTAGGGTTGGACAAACCATTTCATCCATCGGGTGATTGAATGGCCTTCTACCATGCTTCAGGTATTGAAGGTAGCCAACCATCAT